AATCCTCAAAATAAGTCGAAAGTTTTTAACAAGGAGTCCCGTAAACCACTTCGCCCGGAAGAGTTTGAAGATCACTGCCGTACCTCACAACATATAAACGCAGTTTTAGCGGAGATGCTACAGAGGGTTTCCGTCTTTCAGCGAACCCTTGACGAACGCGAAAGAGTCGCAGAAGATGTGCGTATTGGATCGTGAAAGAAGAGCTACCTAACCATAACATCAAGTCACATGTAAGCCCCCGAGCTTACATGTATTCCTGTTTGGCGGCCACTAAAAAGACCCCTCCAAGCAGCCTTTACGTAAAGTAAAAACGTGTTATTTTAGTGTCTCAGAATGTGGTAGTTTTCTTTAATAAAGACGTAATCATCATAAAACCGCTAATAATAGCTCTGCTCTTGAAGATTGCCCTTTTTCTGCGCTAATGTCTTTTAGAAATGTCTAAAACTTCTTTGGGGGGTGGGGGGCCCCATGACCGCTTCCGACTTCTCTGGCTACAAACAACAATTACTTGGTATTTTTTTATTTGCCGCACGATTACAATTACAAAAAGATGCCAAAAAGATGTAGGAAGAAATGGCGAGGAGGTCTAAAGGAAACTATAAAGCTTTTCATAATCAGGCCTCCTCAATTACAATTTTTCACAGATGGCATAAAAATTACGGCGACGAAAACAAAATATTATCAGGTGGAAAATTAAAATAACAATCAATCTTACAGACGTTTACAAATGTTGAATATTACAAGGCTTTTTCCCAAGATTTTTGTTGGAGTATACTAATAATTATTACAAATAAATGCCTTAAGTGCTCTTTTAAAGGAAAAAGAAGAGGAAGCGTTGATGATGTTGGTGTTTAAAGAGTTTTAAAATTGAGGTCCTTGATAAAATACCAAAAATTGTTTGATTAGAGTACAACAGAAAAGCAGACGAAATTTACACGAGTTTCTTGTATTATACGAAATGAATTTGACATGAATAAGCCTAGTTGTATTAAGTACATATCATGAAATTTTAAGACACCAAGATTTTGAAAGAGTGGATCAGTATGTGCACCGAAAGTAGTTTTAGCTATAGTTGTGATCACCCGTATCTGTAAAATCTCAAGACGAATAATGTTAGCTCTGTAAGTTGAGGCCCAAACTAAGTTGCAGTAAGTAAAGTATGGATAGACTAGAGAAAAATATAGTTTTCGTAAAGTTTTCTTAGATAAATAGAAACTGGATTTACGAATAATTCCTGTGGATTTAGAAACTTTATTGGCGACATGTGAGATTTCAGATTTCCAATTTAAGTTTTCATCCATGATTACCCCCAAGAAAACGGACTAGTGACTGGTCATCAGCTTTAAACAGTGGTACCAGACGACCTGTTTTCATTTGATATGGTACAACGCCATGAGCGATTGATAAATTCATAATGTGAGCCAGAGGTCCCGAAATGATTTGAATGGATTCCTTAATTACAGACATTGGAATATTATCGTGTCCAGCCGCTTTCCCGGAGGCGAAAGATTGAGCAATGGTAATAACGTCATCCTCTGTTGATGGGCTAAAAGAGATTGATTCTCGAAATGATCCAGATAGAAAATCTTTATGTGAAGATGGAGGAGGCTGTATTTTCTTTGCGAGGTTCGGACCAATACCAGAGAAGTACCTGCAAAACCCTTTTTGCTGCTTCTACTGGATCAGAAATCTCCTGACCGTCTGACTTAAATATTGTATTTAATTGAGGCCTTAGCTTTTTTCTATTTAAGACTTCGTTTAAAATTTGAAATCTTAGTGACAACCCTGACTACAAAACAAGGCTCTACAGACTATAAAAATATCACTGTCTGTTATTTGAATTTTTCCAAAGGGTTCCGCTTCAGGGTTCATACAAAAAAAAATGAACCATTTTTTAAGGACTTTTCAAGGACCACCTACTAGGAATATAAATTCGGCTCAACCTCATTTTTTCCCTCCCACCCCTTCCCCTCCCCCCTTTTTCTTTTCTGACGGGAACCTTTGTTTGCTCTGTAATTTACATGTTGTACTCGTTATGGTCACTATATACTTAGCCCAAACAGAATGTATATTAGTATACCAAGCAGATCATTATTTTATTCCTCTGCATCTTGATGTATCTGAACAACATTAATGATTTATATTATGGTATTATACCAGACGAGGTCACATTCCTTCATTAGGTCCTGAAATGTGGAACTACTGACTTTCTTTCCATTAAACAAAGTCACAGGGAAGTACAACCCTTGGCTGCACTTTAACCCACAGTAAAAGGCTTAGCCCTTGGACACAGGTCCGGAAAAACATCCACTCAAGGGTGTGGACCTCCGGTCCCACCTGATCTGTACTCCACCCAGGAGGGCCACCCCTCCTGGTTCCCCTTAGTTCCTAGTGACTGGGGGATAGGGGCCTCACCCCAGAGACTGATCAGGACTCCTGTCCAGGGTGGCTACCCCTGGTATCACTCAATCTTGTCTCCCCCATAGAAGGGCTTCTCTCCTGGTCCCCTTACCCCTACATTTATTTGCTTCCCTGCCACCAGAATTTTGCCAATTACCTTTGTGTGTTTTCTGTGTGTATCTACATGCAGAACCTTTATGCGTAAGCACTGCCAATTGGAAAGAAAGTGTTCCCTTCTTAGCCGGATCATTACTTAACAAATCTTTCAGAGGCCACTTTCATCACTAGCATGGTGATGGAGGGGGTGGAGGGGGGTGGTTTGGGTCATGGTATTTTGCGCTCATTTATGAGAGATGAAAGTGGGGGCAGGAACAAAAATCACACCAATCAAGATTATAACTGAAAGGGGTGGGGGCTTCAATGCAAAGGAAAAACTAAATTTAAAATGATTCTAGTCCCCCCATCTACATTATTTTAATAACATTATGAGCCCACCCTTAATTGAATGAATGATCGATTGACTGATTGCCTGACTGACTGTATGACTGTTGGATTGACTTCCTGAAGCTTTGACTGACAGACAGACTGATTACATGTACATGTACTTCCAACATTCAGTAATTTTCTCACTAATTTGATAGAATCACTCTTTGTTTGATAGAATGAATGAATAACTGACTGTTTCATTAACTTGATTTTTGTAAGTCCAGCCAGGTCAAGCATACCCCCCCCCCACCCCTAAGATTGCTATAATGAAAGACAATTTTAAAAATGAAGCCATTATAAAGTCATTGCCACAACCAGTATCAAAGTCAAATCCGCATTCCTGCATGAATATAAGTTACATTTAAATTTTATCATCTACTAGCCTCAAAATTTGTGCATCATGTCATAAAGGCTGTCTGCCTGAGGTATTCGACAACATTTTTCAATATGCTAGTAATATCCATTGCTACAACACGAGATATACAGTTAAGAAAAATCTTTATAAGATAAGCATACAAACAAATGTAGGCAAACAATAAATCGCTTTTATGGCCAAGGACATTTGAAAGGACCTTCCAACTCATTTAAAAAACTCAAGCATGTCTGAATTTCCACAACTGTATTGTCAGGACAACAAATGAAATAAACTGATGTCTTGCTGATAAAGCAACATAGCTCATGTACATAAGTTCTTCCTTCTTTCTTTTTTTTCTTCTGTTTTTGATTTTACTTGCTACCTAGAACCTAAATTGTTCAGGGAGCTAACAAGAAAACTAACTAGTTCATTTAGCTTCCCAGCTTGTACATTATTCTCATTACATTTAATTTACCTTCTATTGTAAGTAAATTTACTAGATTGGAATATCAACCATGGATGTATATGGACAAAAGCTTAATAGAGATTATCCTTAATTGTTATTACTAATTAATTATTACTATTACTACCATTATTATTATTATTTTTAACATAATTGTTGATTTTTCACAAAATTTAATACTCACCAAATTAACTGAGAATAAGGTACTAATATTTTTTATTATTTTGCTTCTCTCTGGCATTTTATCAAGGGTACATTTAATCAAGTAAATATGGTATGTCACACATATTACTGTAAAAAGTATATATATATTAGAAAAGTTGTTTACCTGGTCCTCAGAGCTGCCTATTTTTGCTGATCATCTTGTTTCCTGATTGTATTACATTGTCTTGCAGTTTGCCTTGCTGTTCCTCTTCATCAAGAATCCAAACTATGTAACACAGTGTAGTCCATCACTGAAAGAAAATCACATTAACGAAAATTAAGGTAACGTACATTGCAACTTTTTTATGTTAGAACTTGTATAAGACACCCCTGAAAGAAACTTTCTTGTTTAGCAATTTATTCATATTACAGTCCATTTATTAAGGAATACAGCATTCTAAACTGGATACATGTATCTGAAACGGGTTAGGGTTAGATAATGACATTTGTAACTCTGATCTCTCTTTCCAGGGTTTGTACAAATTTTTGGATCCAAAATTCAAGATTTTTCCAGACTTTTTTCAAAACAAAAATTTCTTTTTCCAGACTCAAGGTTATCAAATAGGTGAGCAATAGAGACCTTTAAAAAAATGCAGGAACAAAGCTTTATAAAATAATGATGTGCTGCAAACATACAGGTGAGACTGAATACAATTTGACCATCAGGAAAAAAAGTTCACTTAAAAAGCACTTGTTGTAAAAATTTTTTCCAGACTTCATCTCTATTTTCCAGAATTTTTCCTGGCATAGAAAAGTTGCTGGGCAAATTTGAAGACTTTTTCAAGAATTATTCAAGACTCTGTATGAACCCCGTCTTTCTTCAGTCTGAAAAAGTATATTATTAACAGCTATAAGTCTAGAAGAGTTGAATAGTTCCATTATCATAGAAGTTTACATGTACCTGTCCTCCAATTACAATATTTGTCATTTGCAATACATGTATAAGCCCCGTGGTTTCTATTTAAGGCTTGCTCATCATTTTTGTTCTGTAGTGTATTTTTTCTTTCTTTCTAAGTTGTACATTTTGTGTGGCAAAAAAAAATAAAAAAAATAAACGGTACCATTTACATTACTTCTTATTCTTATATAGTGCGTTCTGATCTAAATGTAATTAATCTTGAAAATTTAACTATAAAAATTTGTAAACCAAACTCTAAGCCATTTCTAGTAGCTTTATGGTACAGACCTGTTCTCCAACCGATTTATTTTCGAGTTAAGAGTCATTTATAGGCAAATTAAATTCTCTCGACCTAGAGTACTATTTGCTCGGTGACTTACACTGTAATTTGGCCTCTCCTACACCAGATGCAAACACTCATCATTCACTTGCGATTTCGGATTTATATGGGCTCAAACAACTGATAAATGAACCAACGCGTCTTGCAGAATCCTTATCTACACTAATTAATTTGATCTAACAAATTCTACAGACTGGGTAGGCTGTTCCAGTGTCTCCCATATTGCCATCAGCGATCATAACCTCGTCTATGTTTATTATGTTTATCTTACAGAAATTTTCGAAATTTTGAAAGTGGAAATTGTCGAAATGAAATGTCTCAACAAGACTGGTCATTCAATTTGGTATGGTCAAACTGGAAAACAAAATTTTTGCGCATTGTTAACTCACATGCTCCTTTTCAAACTGAACGTACTAAATTGAACAAAACACCCTGGATTCATTCAGCCTTGAAGAAAGGTATGTGCTGTCACGATGCCACTAAAACGAAAGCGATAAAAACAAAGAATCCTCAGGGCTGGGGCAATTACAGAAAGCTCTGAAATCGAATCAACAATAAAGTGAAAACCACTAAGGCATCCTATTATCACAATACTTTTATTCAATCCGAAGGAAATGCTTGAAGGACTTGGAAAACTATTAACAACCTCATGTCTCGTCGTCAGAGCAACCAAATAGTAAAGGGTGTGAAGGTGAATGACATCTCTACCTGTAACTCTAACGAGATTTCCAACGTCTTTAACGAACACTTTTCCACTATTACGCCCAGACTAGCCCGCAAAATACCTTTAACTTCGGACGAGAAGTTTAGTTCAACTACTACCAGTAATGTCTTTACCCATCTAAATAAATTGTCAAAAACTAAAGCTACAGGGCTAGATAATATCTCTGCTAGGTTGATTCGTGAGTGTGCTGATATTATTTCAGGCCCGTTATGCGATCTGTTTAATAAATCTCTGATGTCTGTAATATTTCCTGATGACTGGAAATGTGCCAGAGCGACTCCGTTGTTTAAACAGGACGAGTCATTTGATTTAATCAACTACCGACCTATCTCAGTCATTTCCGTAGTCGCCAAAGTGTTCGAGAGGGTTATACAACTTCTTAAATAGCGATGAAATCATCTCTAAACAACAATCTGGTTTCCGGTATCTACACTCAACTGTTACTGCACTTCTAGAAGCCACTGACAGTTGAGCGTTTAATATCGATCATGGCTACGTCAATGCCGTAGTGTTACTCAACTTAAAAAAGGCATTTGACACTGTTGATCATGAGATATTACTAACCAAAATGAATCGGTGTGGAATTCAAGGTAAAACGCTTGATTGGTTTAAATCGTATTTAACGAATCACACACAACGGTGCTCAGTCAACGGTTGTCTCTCTGACTTCACCACTCTTAAATGTGGTGTGCCACGGGGAACGATCCTTGGCCCACTTTTATTTCTAATTTATATTAACGATTTGCCTGACTGTCTTTCGTTCAGCACACCTAGAATGTATGCTGATGACACCCACATTACTTATGCTGGTTCTGATTTGCATTTGATTCAGTCTAGTCTATCTCACGACCTTGAAAAGCTAAGCAAATGGCTTGTGTCGAACAGACTTACCTTGAACACTGCAAAAACTGAATTTATGTTGATCAGCTCCAGGCAAAGATTAACTACTCTATCTGATACACTCGAACTTTCCATTGATAATGTTCTGATTGAACAAGTTCCATCTGTTAAATCACTTGGAATATATATCGATGACAATTTAACATGGCATTCCTACATTGATAAACTGTGTAAAAAGATTGCTTCTGCAATTGGAGTCATAAAGCGAGTTAAGCCATTTGTGCCTCAATCCACGCTACTCAATATATACAACTCACTAGTTCAATCTAACTTTGATTACTGCAGCCTAATCTGGGGTAATTGTGGCAAAACATTATCTAACAAGCTACAAAAACTGCAAAACCATGCTGCACGAGTAATAACTTCACCAAACTTTGATGTAGATGTTGATTCCTTGTTTCACAAACTCAGCTGGAAAGACTCGAAATCTCAACGTCAAAATCAGAATGTCTTAATGGTTTTCAAGTCTTTAAACTGGCTGGTTCCCGAATATCTCGCATCTAAATTTATAAAGCGAAATGAATCAAACTATTCTCTGAGGGACTCGGTAAACAAACTTTTTATCCCCTTTCCAAGAACTAACTACACGAAAAATAGTTTTAGTTACAGCGGCACAACCCTTTGGAACAGCCTGCCCTGTAACATTAGAGAGTCTGGTTCATTAAATCAGTTTAAACACCTTCTCTATCATAATTTTTAAACATGGCATTCATGGAAATCAGGTTTTTTTTAACTGGCATATTGATGTAAGTTAATATAATGTTAAAGATTAGGATTTTTTTAGGTTTTAGGATCATGACGAGATCTGAAATAGCAGACCCCTGCTGATGTTCGCCTATTCAATAGTCGAACATCAGCAGGGGAGCTCTGTAAAAGTAATCAACTTTTTATGGCTCATTTGCTTGGAGATGACAAATTCTCATATCAACTGGATTCCTGTATGTCAACAAGATTTTGGTTTAACAAAGAACTCAACTACAAATTAGCCGCATCAGAGGACTTTCTGCCAAACTGGAATGCATTTGCCTTTGTGGCTTCTCTTAAAATTTATTGTACTTTGCGAAGAGTAATTTTACGCGCTTCGCTCCGCGAAATTTTCCATTGTATCATTTTGCTTACTTGTATTTATTAGACACTAAGGGCCAGTTATCTGGTTCTTGTATTACAAAATCAAACCATGTTAAGTCTTTCAGTTTGCCCAAAGCTTTTATCTAAACACCACTTATCGTGAATAATTTCAATAAAGCATATAGCGCAGACTGGAAAAGCACTTATTTTCTTCAAATAAACCCACCAGGAAAGAGACCTGGAGATCCAATGATTTCTTAAACCAGAGCCTAAGTTAGCCCTTAATGGTATGAAAGTAATGCCACTCTATTTTCTTTTTGCTTCCTCGCAAGTTAAAGTGAGAGTTCATGGAGACTGTGTTTTCTCGAGTGCCTTAAAGAAGCTGCCTTTTAGCGGCAATATTGACAAAAACTAGCAGTACAAAAAATAAAATTAAATGTAAAGTCACGTTTATGTAACAAAACCGTTACTCAGTGTACTACTCAAATTAAACTTGTGGAATATAAATTTAAAGCCGCAGAGTATTTTCCCCGACAATGGAGAATATTACTTCTAACTTTCTGCGATAATGTTGCAAACTTTTTCAATTTATATTTCAACCAAATAGGCTGCACATTTTACTGCGATGATTATGTTCACTTTCATGCCTTCATCTGTAGTTTCTGGAATCTTCATTCAAGGCAGAACTAAAACTAACCGCTGAATGGAAACCTTACTGCAAAAACTTTTAAAACTGACGTGCTGTTTTAAGGCCTCGCTGGATCTGGATAGGTTAACTTCAAACGTAAGCAAAATAATTGCAATATTCGAAAGAGCACTTAACCAACGCGATACAGTACTGGTAATTAAATGCTTAAACAACGTCGTCAAAGCTCATTCTTATTTCCCCCTGAGACACCTGGAGAATAATATTCTCGCAGAGCCAAAGCCTGAAAAGGGTAAGCTGCTCTGTTGCATCAGAAAGGCCAAACTGTTTTAATAAATAATTAATGCTGGACAGGGATTCGAACAATATCTGAAAGCGCATTTTTAGTTCCCTCTGAAAGACCTGGAGAATAAAATTCTCGCAGAGCCACAACCTGAAAAGGATTTTTAGTTCCCTCTGAAAGACGTGGAGAATAAAATTCTCACAGAGCAACAGCCTGAAAAGGCTAAGCTGTTCTGTTGCATCAGGAAGGCTAAACCGTTTTACCTTGTGCTAGACAGAGGTTCAAACAATATCTGAAAGCACGTTTTTAAGTTCCCTCTGAAACACATGGAGAATAAAATTCGCACAGAGCCACAGCCTGAAAAGGCTAAGCTGCTCTATTGAATCAGGAAGGCCAAACCATTTTACCTTGTGCTAGACAGAGGTTCAAACAATATCTGAAAGTGCGTTTTTAAGTTCCCTCTGAAACACCTGGAGAATAAAATTCGCACAGAGCCACAGCCTAAAAAGGCTAAGCTGCTCTGTTGCATCAGGAAGGCCAAACCGTTTTACCTTGTGCTAGACAGAGGTTCAAACAATATCTGAAAGTGCGTTTTTAAGTCCCCCCTGAGACACCTGGAGAATAAAATTCTCGGACAGCCACAGCCTAAAATGGCTAAGCTGCTCTGTCGTATCAGGAAGGCCAAAATATTTTCTCCTAGTGCTAGGTGGGGGTTCAAACAATATCTGAAAGTGTTTTTTTAGTTCCCTCTAAAACACCTGGAGAATAAAATTTTCACAGAGCCACAGCCTAAAAAGGCTAGTAAGCTACTCTGTTGCATCAGGAAGGCCAAACTGTTTTACCTAATGCTAGACAGCACTATCATCAATGTTTCCTTTAGGATTTTTTTTGTACGTAAAATTAAAGGCTGGTCATCACCATTTTCTCTTAACAACACTAGCTGAAATGCATTCAAGCAAGTTATTAACAATTATACCATCTATTATTGATCACAAGTAATAACTTCAAGTACCTTTAAATCATGGCATAAGAAAAAAAATTCAATTTCAATTCCATATCGAACCAGCACAAAATTATCATCATTAATTTTTTCAAAAAAAACAACAACAACAACAAATACAGGTATTTCAAATTGAGATTTGAGTCACTGCAAAAACACAAACAAGATAGTTTAAACAGCAAACCTAAAACCGACTCACAACCAGCCTGACTTTGACCAAAGCTCAAATGTGCAATTACTTTGTTTACCAAAGATCTCTGGTTCATGTGGTTACACTCCTCATACCCTTGAAACAATTAACTTTACAGATTTGATCAGCATAAAATTAAAGGAGAATTTGATTAATTTGAAAATATCCACTATGATCCACTCTTAAAAACTGAACTCTGGCTGAACTGAACTGTTTGCGATCAGGCTTAAGAAATAGTGATGTCCATCAACATTCTCCATGAACATTACACTTTCACACAATTAGCAGTTATTGAGAATTTATAAAATGATCGAGTGATCAGTGTCGACCTTAACACATTTTTATGCTAAAATGATAATAGGTATCCATTAAAGATGATACAAAGACATCCAAAAATATTAATTAATTATTAAAAAATTGACAAGGGTTGGATAGAGTCACCGTACAGCTGAATCCAATCAGCAACCTTCGATAAAAAATTATTTAAGCTTACATAATCAACAACAGCCTCGACTCTCATCTGCCACCGTCAGGAAATCATACAATATTGCTTCTAGAATGAATCCCGTCATTTTAATTTCCCCAATTCAGTAATCCACGACCAAGTACATTTTCCAGATCTTCCCCACACGACAAAACACTTCCTCTGAATTCATGTCTGCTTCCTGCCATATTTTCTAGTAGCTGGAGGGAATTTAGTCCTTCTTTGATCGCTTTAAACCTGCTTTCGTGTGCATTCCATGGGCTAAGGGCTTGGGCTAAGTTTGAAATGACAACAACATGATCTTTCCTCAGTCTTTGAAAAACCAAACCTGGATGTGTTGACTCGAGCGCCGGTACTACAGGGTACTATCTGTACTACTGACCGAGTCATAAATAATCAGCCCAGCTATTTCCAAAACATCATCTCTACATGAAAAGCTTTGATTTACCTTGAATTATATCTGTCAGTAAAAACATTTGGTCAATGATTTGGTAGATACTGCGTACGAGATTACATTTGTTTGGCAAGCGAGGGTCTAAAGACTGAAGATGCTTTTCCCGACGAATGCGCCATTTTCGTGCCGGTTTTGAAAGTTCGCGGGAGATCGCATTGTGATACAAAATAGCATCTGTCTTTTGTCTCAGCTCGTCTTCAATCGGTGACGCAAAGTACACAAGTCATGACAGATTAATGGCTATTAACTGAATCTTACTCAGGTTTTTATAAGGACACCGGAAAATGGAACTTCCTCCCTGTGGTGAATTTCAAAGTCATACGAATCTCGACATGTTTGTCACTGTATTAGAATTTACTGTACCTAATGAATTTTTTACTGTGTATAAATAACGGTTAAAGATTAAAGATTACATATCAGCCTTTCATTGCACCCAGTCGAAGTTATGTTGCTTGGAAACCTTAATGCAACTTGACATAACAATCAATATCGTCACTGCAACTACCTTCCAAAGCTGACTTATGTTTCTGCCTACAATGTAGCTATGTTATCCATGCACATTAATTTCACAACTGATTCAAAAGTCAACAACATAATAAACTCTCTCCATGCGGAATCAAAATCCGAAAGAGAGTTTTCGCTTATTTCAGTTATTTATCAACAAAGTAATGACCTGTACTTGTGACCTGTGACCTGTGACGTGAATTTTATAAGGTTACCTGCTAAATTTCATGTTTCACCTTAATTTGTATCAGATCTCCTGGATTTACTTGATGATTTAATTCACAAGGTTGATCCTTTAATTACCATCGCCAATATTTTCTTTGCTTATGAGACCATCGTTTTCTGCGAAGTAGTCTTAAATTTAAGCTAAAGCTTTATAACTTAAGCTAATTAAACAAAAACTTACCTCACAAGATCCGTGCCAGATTTTTAACCACTTCTGACATGCCACGTGCGAGAATTTGTAGATCATGAAGAGAGCCAAGTGTTGACCAGTAAGTAAAAGAACTCCTGAAGCTCAAATCCGAGTTCCAGAAGTCTAACCATGTTCCTTTAGATCCAATTTACTACACACGTGTTGTGTCTGGTCAATAATTCGTCGCCATATTGGTCTCGGCTAGAACCCAGTCTCTAGTTTGGCGCGTGCGTCTCGCGCGCGGGCTTTCGAACTACTCGCTTCGCGTGTGTCGCTTGTAAAACGCGCTCATTGGAGTCAATCCCGGGTCCCAGAAAGATGGTTAAGTTTAACCCGGGATTAAGCAAAATTTTAAGCACGGTTTTCTTGCTAAGAGCATGTGACTCAAGCTTTCAAAATACTGTTGAACCTTTAGTCTGAGACACAGTAATGATTTACACAAAATGTTTCTCTACGCAATGCATAGGAATTTAAATACAAAAAGTGGAACAAAATCTTAATCCTGGATTAATGCTAATCGGCCTTTCAGAAACCGAGCCCAGGAAAATAAACATTTCATGCCTATTGATAGTTCATGAATTTTCTCGATTTATGAGTGAGATAAATAGTAAATATTACTTCTAACAGTGACGAGTACTTCAATTGAGTAATGAAACCAGCACAGTGTGGAATGTGAGTGCTGAAACCCATATGAGCTTATGTAAACGTAAAATATGGTTCGCGAATGCTCAGGAATCGAAGCACGATCTTAAATGTGAAAGTAATATACTACCCTTGCAATTGCGAGCCTTAAAGTCAAATAGGCAAGTAAAATTGGCAGGCTATCTCTCATTAACATGGAATTGAACCTATTCCAGGAGCAAGAGTCTGCGGTTAATTGGTCAGACGGCTATCAACCATGCTGATTGGTTTGTCGCTGTGTACTTGCTGATATTTCATATTTTGATGATCTCTAATAAGGACCCCACTGGGTCGAGACAGGTGTCTGCCAAAGCCCGAGTGATATGGCTTTGCGCATGATTTAGGTACTTGCCAGGCCGTGGGTTGGTGTATGTATGCCAACTGCTGTTAAGTTTGCTATAATCGGGTTAGGAGAACGGAACTAGATACCTTCGGACCTTTTGGTTTCATCCAAATAATTGCGCTATCGCGTGTGACACCCGCGCGCAATTTTGGTGACGGCGCCGCGCAAAGAATAAAGAAAGAAAAATGGTGTTGAAAATTACCTTCATGGGCAACTTCGTCACCTGGGCGCTTTCCCCTGGCCTTGGAATTGGGGCGCCCCACCTGCAAAGCCAGGGGAAAGCGCCTTGGGGACGAGGTTGCTTCATGGGGGGTAAATAAATTCCACTTTCCGCATTATTTTCAGGAGAACCTTAACCAGCGACGTTTTTGAGCGACGCACGTCAACCGGAAGTAGACTTTTTGCACACTTGAGCCTTGATTTTGAAAAAAATTTTGGTCGACTCGTCTCTTTAAGAGTAAAAACACTTAGCAGTACAAATTTAGTAGTGTCAAGGCATATTAATTGAAAAAGGCTTACTTCTGGTTAACGAGCGTCGCTCAAAAATGTCCCTGCTTAAACTCCCTATTGACTTCGAATGTGAGGTCTGTGAATGGGACTCCTATTATGGTAATCACCCGGATGAGATTGTCATTGTTTTTGATTGGTATGAAGAACAAAGGGGCGTGATGTTTGAATAAAAATTAAGGGAAATATTTTTTACGCTTATCCCTAACAAGGTTTGACAACCCAGGAGCGTAGCTAGGATTTTCAAAGGGGTGGGGAGGAGTCACACTGTGTCACACCCAGGATATTTACCAGATTGGCATGTCGATAACCAGGCAGTGGTGTTTTAATAAAAGTGACAGTTTTTTCGGATGATCAGTGAGCGTGTTGGGGGAGACAAGCCTACAACATACCTGCATAGCAAAAATAATTTCTCCTGGTCTAAATTACTCTATTTTAGTTACGAATCGAATGTGAGGCCTGTGAATGGGACTCCAATTATGGTAATCACCGGAATGAGATTGTAATTGTTTTTGATTGGTATGAAGGACACAGGGGCGTGTGTTTGAATAAAAATTAAGAGAGATATTTTTGACGTTCATCCCTAACAAGGTTTGACAACCCAGGATTTTCAAAGGGGTGGGGGGTGGCGGAGGGGGGAGGGAGTCACACTGTGTGACACCCAGCATATTTACCAGATTGGCACCCAGGTAGTGGTGTTTTAATAAAACTGACATTTTTTTCGGATGAGCAGTGAGCGTGTTGGGGGAGACAAGCCTACAACATACCTGCATAGCAAAAATAATTTCTCCTGGTCTAAATTACTCTATTTTAGTTACAAACAAAAACATAGTCCACTGCAGATGGTCGGTCCTGCAAATGGGGTAAGTAACTATCTAGCACTGGAAAAGATTTAGTGCGCGTTGATTCCTCAGATTCGCGCGTTTTGGCCACCTGAATTACGGGGACAAAAAACAATTACCTCACAAAGGTGGGGGGGTGGTCACGGGCACCCCAGGACCACCCCCAGCTACGCCCGGTGAAAAAAAGAGTATAAAACGACATATTGAGTTAGGAGAATTCCCGCTGCCGTGGTTTTTTGAAGAACAAAACAAAATGGATGTCCAAAAAGCGAAATTAGGATCGACTTAAAAATGTTTTCTCAGGAGGCTACGCTAGTCGTAACTCTTGACTTTTCGCGAGACATCCCCAGTGGCGGAGGCGGAGGAGGGTGCTACTTATTCGCAGGCTATACTCATTTGAACAAGTACAGACCTTTAGACGAGTCCGACTACGAGTACGAGATTTTCTCAGTACTAAGTGCGCGCACGAGAACCAGCGTCATTTTAGCGGGAAAACGTGGTAGCCGTCGTCATTCTACTACGAGCTTTAGCGAGAATGTCGAAGTAGCGGAAACGAGTTATCAAATGTTACAAGTTTTATCATTTTTCGATCGGGAGAGGGTGTAACCTCCTTCACTAAAGGTAACAGCGCTAACTTTTCTAGTGAAAAATGGTAAAATGAAGCCTTCCGGGGAGTCTATAATTTAAGGAAACGCGGAAAAACTTTAAGTCAAATCTCGTACCCGTAGTCGTTCACGTCCTTGAATCTGAAGGTCGCTAGTTTTTTTTTTTTTTCGGTCAACACAACACTAACTGGCAGATTGCAAAAACTTTTATTAATTCTGTACCAGCAAAAAGTACAGTTACCTTCCTCGCCTATGAATTTGCTCCAGCTGGGATTACATGTAGAAAATTCGGTTATAGTTTTTTTGTTTCTTGCCAACATTTCACTGTAAGTAAACTTAAGAAAGAATACGGATATCGATATCATAAAGGGTAATCTACATCTACGATTTTTCTGACAAACTATTGGATCTAGTTGCAAGATTTCAAAATAGGGACAAATGCCCGCTTCAAACATCGTTTTCCTTTCTTGATATTCAAGTTCATGCAAAAAGTATTTAACTTATTTCAACTAGTCAGTAAAGGAGTGCAGCTGAATTGGTACACTATGGATAACGTCGCGCTTAAAAAAAAAGGACGCTGCAAAATCTAACTCGAACGCTGATTGGTCCGTTCTGGCCGTTAGAAAACTTGACGCTAATTGGCTTGTAAAGGAAGGGACTCCTTTACTATTTTAAATCTCTATTAAATGCTGGATTTTGTTTTAGATCATTTCTGGAATTGTTTGAAAAGCTGCATCAAAGTTATCCAACGTTATAGTACTGGCAGTACATAAACTAAGCAAAATAGAAAATGAATAATGAATACGAACTTCACGCTATACCCGAAGTAGAAGGATCCCTCGGTTTTCAGGCCACTGCTTATAATAAAGCTAGCATTCAACTCTCTGAGGCTATGTGTAGTAAGGGTTAAATTTCACTTGATAGCGTATTGGTACTCAGCCCTGCCCCTAAATAATTCGGCATTTAAACTTTTCTTATAACTGTTGCATGCACTTGTTCAAATGATCAATAGGTATATGTCTATGCTATTAAAGGGTTAGCCAATTGTTCTTTCTTGTAGCTGCTTTAGGGATCTAGCTTTGCTGGCATTCAGCTCTGTTACGTTCCTTTCCACGGTCTGTTGAACGTCGCTCTCGGTCCCGATAGCTGGGCCTCTCGGATTCTCTGTCATTGGAGCTTTCATTTGCTCTGTCTTTGTCTCGAGTACTGTAGCGGTCCCGATCAGATCCATAGCGGTCAGACTCTCTCCTTCCACGCCTTGTCCCTTGTTCCTCTTCCACTGGAGTGCTGCTTCGGAACACAGAGTCATAATCACGCTCGGACTCCACAGGCCTACTCTCTACGACATCTATTTTTTCACCAACGTGATCTTTAGGTTCACTGCTCCTCTTTCCTCGGCCACGCGAAATCTCTCTTCCTAGTTTTTCTCCCAGCTCAGAGTGCTCAAGGTCACTTGATCCTGATACATCACCGTTTGGTAGGCTGCTTTCGCTTGAAGAGCGGACTGATCCAGGTCTGTTCATTAGTCCGTCTTGGTAACTCAACATCATTTTGTATTCCCGCGGTCTTGAACCCTTCCGATCCAGAATTAGGGTGGTGGAGGCTTGGTCACTAGGTACTGAGCTCGCCAGCTGCTCCCGCAGTTGCTGCATCTGTTTTTCATTCTTCTTAATGAGGTCATCTTTGTCTTTAATCTTGTTCTTCAGAATTTCTAGCTCGGCCTCTAGCTCAGCTGTTTTTACTTTGTTGTAGTTCATCTCTTCTAGCAGCTTATTATCCAGCCTGTTTTTATCGTCTCGTAATGATTTGATATCTTTTTGTAGTTCGTCATTCTTCTTCTGAAAGTCAGCAAGGGTGGATTTGGCGGCATCATATTCTTCTTTCAAACGCTCTAGCTGCATTTGAGCTTCCATCTTATCCTTTTGAAGGTCTTCAATTTTCGCATCTTTTTCCTCGATTTCTTTTTTGTATAATTCACTCTGACCTCCATAAAGTGCCGTAATCTGCACGGCTAACTGCTTGTTATTATCTTCAAACCTATTATTGTACTCATCCAGTTGCTCCTTCAAGTCAAGAATCTCTTTCTTGGCGTCGTCCAGGTTTTTCTGAAGCTTCTTGTTCCTCTCACTCAAGGCATTGTTCTCTCTAATTAGTTGTTTCTCTTTCTCTGGATCCATTCCTCCCTTTCCGCTTGCCACCATATCTTCCAGTTCTTGAATCTCTTTTTCCAGGTCCTCAATTTTTTTGTTTTCAATCTTGACTTCATTTTCCAGCTGTGTCACCCTGGCGTGTAAATCTTTGTTTTCATTGCGCAGATCTCTGTTCTTTTCCAGCAAGTCGTCATTTTCGTCTTTCAGTGATGATAGCTGGCTCTCTTCTCTTTGAATTTTTCTTTCTTGCTCAGCGACCTTTTCTGCCAATTCTCTTATCTTCCTTTCTCTCTCATTTTGAAAGTCTCGAGATGGTCTTCTCTTCGTAATAGCAACATCACTGGCTCTCTTCAGTTCTCTTTCCAGATCTGCTTTCTCCTTGTTAAGTTTCTGCAACCTTTGCTCTAGATCCTTGTTTTCGTCTTTAAGTTCGTCGTTCTCTGTCTGAAGTTTGTCCTTTTGATCCTGAAGGTTGTCCATCTCGTCACGTAGGTGATCATTGTTTTGGTTTGCGATCTGAATTTCATGATGAAGGTTGTCCCGCTCTGCGTCCAGCTTCTCAATTTCTGCCTCTTCTTCTTTGAGTCTTTGTCTAGCCTTTGACAAGTCATCTTGAAGCCTGCTATTAGTGTTCTGGAAGTCTTCAAGCTCCTTATTCAACATTCCAACCTGTTCCTTTGCGGCATCTATCTCTATTTTCAGCGAATCGTTGTCTCTCTTTACTCCATCCACGTCATCATCGAAACTCATTGGAAGAGCACTCTCTACTTCAGATACTGTCTGCACAGGAATGATGTCAATCTGTCTACTGAGGCTGTCTTTTAGATCAGTATTCTCGTTTTGTGCATTTAACAACTCGTTACGGATCTTCTCGTAATCGTCTGTGGCTAGCTTGTGTCCAATCTCTAGTTCATGCAGTTTGACCTCTAGCTGTTGCAGTTCGAGCTTGAGTTCCTTGTTCTCCGTCATTAATTTTCGATTTTCAGCCTTCACGTCGTGCAACTCATCCCTTAGCTCTTCAATGTCCTTCTCCAACTCATCTTTGTCTTCTTTCAAAGTGTTAACCTGGTGGACGAGATCCTTAATCTCTTCTAGGAGCTTACCCTGAGATCCTTGTTGATCATGGTTTCCTTTTTTGAGCTGTCGCAACTCCTCCTTGAGTTTATCGTTCATGTTGGTCACTTCGCTCACCATCGTCCTTTCCTGCTCCTCTCTTGTTCTGAGAATATCCATATCGTGTTCGAGGGTCAAAACTTTGCTTTTTAACCTTTGGAGTTCTTTCAGCGCTTCAGCTTTTTCGTCGAGGGCATCCTGGAGTGCCTTCGAGTCTCCCCCAATGTCAATGTTGACTGAGTGCAGGGGAGCAGCATCAGTGTAATCCTCTTCCTCTAGCTCGGCAATTCTCTTATTAAGATCAGCAATTTCATCCTTTAAGTCTTCTATTTCGTTTGCCTGTGCTGTCTTGGTTTTCTCGAGTCTTTTGATCTCACTGTTGGCCCTCTGAAGTTCCTTATTCAGTGGGGCGTAATTTTCCTTACGCCACTCAAGCCATTTGTCTTTGTCTTCCTTGTGTCTATCTCGAGAAGCTTGGAGCTTGTTTTTCAGCTCAGATTCGCTGTTTTTCAACCGATTAACCTCGTCATTCAGGACATCTTTTTCTCTCTTCTGCTCGTTTAACTCGGTTTCTAGTCTTGCCAACTTGGTGCGATAAGCTACCATGTCGCTCTTTGCTTTCTCTTTCTCGCGAAGCGCGTCCTGACAACTTGCCTCCAATTCTTGATATTTCTTTCTGCTCACTACTTCCTGGAGTTGTTTAGGAACGTCCACCGAGTTTAGCTGATTTTGCAGAGCCTCGAATTTCTTTTTCATCAGCGACAGGTCGTTTTCCGCTTTATTCCTTTCATATTTCAGTTTCTCGTGCTCGACCTTTAATTCAGAGATCTTCTTCTCCAAGTTGGTGTAGTCTTTCTTTAATTTTTCTTTCTCGTCTTCCAATTTTCGGATTTTATCTTCTAAACGCTGAATCTCGTTATCTTTGGAGACTAGAACTCTTCGAAGGTCTTCAGCATCCCTTTGAGCCTTCTGACTTTTCTTCTTAATGTCTTTGATTGTGGCCTGCAGATTGATAACCTCGTCTTTCAGACGATCTCGCTCTTCTCGCAATGAATCGGACGGTCCAGCTACTTGTGAAATTTTCACATCTTTATCCCGAAGTTCGAGCTCTAGTTTCATCTTTTCGTTACAGACGGTCTGGTATTTTTGTCGATATTCCGAGAGTTTATTTCTTAGATCATTTAGATGATCCTCACTGACCCCAGATCCCGTGGTAACCAACGTGTTTTTGGCTTTTGATTCCTTTCTCAGTTGCTCACAAATTCTTTCAAGTTCAGCATTATTGAATTCGAGAATCTTCTTTTCGTCATTGGCAGCCTTAAGACTCTCTTTAGCCTCCTTGAGTTTCTTATTAACGGCTTCTTTTTCATCCTTTGCATACTTTAACATTCCACCTAGATTTCTTTGAACGTCTTCCAGCTCTTGATCACGCATTACAATGTCGCCGTGCATTCTCTCCACCTCCATTTTGTACTCCTCTAGGTCGTCTTCTGTAGATTCCAGCTTGATTTTCATTTCTTCGAGAATTTCTTGCAGTTTAGTAACATTCGTTTGAGTGGAACGAAGGTCCTCTTGCAGCTTATTGTTCTCTCTGTCCTTAGTGTTAACATCTTCTCTCAGCTCCTCAATGACTTGCTTTAGGCTATCAGAATCGTTATGGCCACCCTCTATAATGGCATAGAGTTCGTTGATTTTTCTTTGTTTTTCAATAATGTCGTCGTTTTTATCAAGCAATTCACGTTGCTTTTCATCAAGGTCTCGCTTTAACGACTTCACTTTGGCCAATGCAGCAGCTTGCTGTGCCTCTGCAGTACCTAAATCGTCTTGGGCAGCTTGCAAATCATTCTTCAGATGCTTGAGCTCATTTTCTAAGGACTGACACTTATCGTTTACCTGATTTAATTCCTCTATTGTTTCAGGCAACGACTTTTCTAACTCTTTATTGCGGTCCTCTGCCTCTCTAAGTTTTGTTTCAAGACGATCGTTCTTACCCTCCGCATCTCCCAGTTTGTTTCTGTAGTCGTTAAGCTGGTCGCTCAAAACTGCCTTTTTCATTTTCTTTCTCTTCAGCTTCTCTTTGAGGCCAAGGTTCTCATCTTCAAGGTTGCTGAGTGCGTCTGGATCGGCGCCAAAATCGAACCCTGGTGCTGCTGCATACTGCGTGTCAACGGTTGCCACATTCATGGGTGAAATCTCAATAACGTCGTGCTTCTCTGCGAGTTTCACCTTAAGGTCTGCAATTTCGTCCTCATACTTGTTCTTTGTTTCTTTCAAATCATCTATGTCCTTTTCATCGCGCTGGAGTTCGAGGTTTAGTACTTCGATTTTATCCTCTAGATCCTCGATCTTTTTCCTCCTGCTCTCGTTTTCGTTCTTCAGCTGTCTTATCTCGTCTTCTAACTCATCATTTTCCTTTTCTATATCTTTTCTTCTCGCCTGTGATTCAGCTAACTGAGCCTCGATGTCTTCCAGTTTTCTGTTCGCTGAATTGAGCTCTTCTAAAGCTCGATCTCGCTCTCCCTGCATCCGAGTGAAATTTCGTTTTAAGTCAACAAGAGTTGTACGTTTGAGCTCGCCTAACTCTTCTTGCAACCTTGCCTTTTCTTCCTTCAATGTGTCGCAGTTTTCTTGACTTGATTTCAAATCTGACACTAGGAAATCACACCTCTTCTCCAGATCGGTCTTCTTCTCTTGCAGTCTTTGAAAAGTAGCGTTACGAGCGTCCCTTTCTTTGTCATAAGAATCACATGTCACTCTAAGTCGTACGTGGTCCTCGTCAAGAGTAAGCAACTGTTCTTGTTTGTCCTCCAGATATCGGTGGGCCTGCTCAAGCTGACTCTCTAATGACTTAATTTCATTATCGTCCTCAACGCACTTGCATTCTAAACGTGTTATCTGCGTTCGAGCTTGCCCTAACTCCATTTTTGCGTCCTCTTTCTCTCGATTGGATCTCTCCAGCATCTTTTTGAGTTCTTCTAGCTTTCTTTGTGCTGTATTGTAGCTGTGCTGAACATCTATTTCTCTCTCTTTAGCATCCTTGGCATTTTTCTCTGCTCGTGGAAGACGGTCTTCGTGCAGCCGCAGCTGTTCCCTGAGTTGCTCTTCGCGACACTCGCTCTTCTTAAGAAGTGTTTCTAATTCATGGACTCTCTCGTCAGGATCGCTACGAAGTCTTTCCTCTCTGAAGCTAACAGGTGGTGCTGACTGCACCACTGACACATTCGCCACAGATTGCATGTTGTTTCCCATCTCCTTAAGTTGGGTTTCGAGCTCTTTGATGCGATTTCTGTTAATTTCGTTTGCACTCTTAAGCGCCTCAATATCTTTTCTGCAGGTAGTGATATTGTCTTTCTGACTGCTGATCGTACGCTTGTCCTCGCTTAGCTTTGCATCTTTCTCTTTCATATCCGACTCCAGACGACTGATAGTGCGATCTTTTTCTTTGAGCTTGTTACGGGTCTGCTCCAGCTCTGGTTTGAGCTTTCTCACCTTTGTCTCCAGTTCATCAACTTGACTTTGCAAATCTTTTTTTTGCTTAGTAAGCGTCTTGTTATTAGTCTCAGCAACGTTCAACTTGTAAGACAAAGAATCCACATCTTGTTGAAGCAACTCCTTTGCTTCGATTTCTTCTCGCAGTTCCTTTTGAAGATCTTCCATCTTGCGTTTCAGAGCCTTAAAACGAGAGTCCAAGGCTTTGTTTTCAGCTTCTAATGTCTCGTTTTTGGCTACTGCAGCCCTCAGTTGCGGCCTTAGGTTTTCTAACTCTTCTTCCAATTCTTTACACTTTTGACCCAACGATACCATAGTATCTTCGTGCCTCTTCACAGTCTTTCCAAGAGTTGAGTTCACTTTTATCTGCTCTGAGAGGTTCAGATTTTTGTCGGTGACGTGTTTTTTACTCTGCGTTAGTCTTTCACTGAAATCGCTCAGACTTTCCTTGAGCCTATCCCTCTCAAGTTTTAGGGCGTCAACCTCTTTCTGTAACTTCTCGACTTTGGGTCTTAGATCTTCTAGTTCATCTTTCAGTTCATTGTTAGCATCCGTAAGTTCATCCTCCTCTTTCTCAAGATCCTCCATTCTCTTCTTCATTTCACGCTCTTTTTTTTCCAAGCCAGCGCAAGTAGTTTTGTAGGAATCCAGTTCCCTTTGAAGCCGTGCAATATCATCTTCTCTATTTTTTAGATCGCTTAAGAGATGATCCTCAGCGACCTTTTGCCTTTTGTTTTCATTTTCGAGTTCATATATCCTCTGACGGAGCGGTGTTAGATGGCTTTCAAAGTCAATTGGGGGCAAGCTGATCGAAACTGAATTTTCGTCTTGCTTATTCTTATCATTGCCTCGTTTTGGTTCCATGTGTTTGAGCTTTTCAAGAACACCTGCTAGTTCCACCTCGGCATTGTCCCTTTCTTTAGTTACCTTCTCTAGCTGAGCGTCAAGTATGTTTACTTCTTTCTCTGTGTCCTCAAGCTTCTTCTTCAGGTGTTTTATATCGTCATCCTTGTAATCGCATTCTGCTCTTGCTGCCGACAGGTCTGACTGACTGTTGTCGTAGTTTGATTTCAGGTCTGCCAATTTATCGCAGAGCTCATCAATCCTACTGTTTTTCTCTGCCAGTTCTTTTTTGTATTCTTCTGCTTCCTCCTGGGCTTCTGCCAGCTTCTTTCTAAGATTTTCAACCATCTTTCGTTGTTTGCTCGTCTTATCCGACCAATCTTGAACTTGACTCTCGAACACTGTCTTATCCTTGACGGTCAAATCAAAGTCATCTTCTAGTCGTGTTAGCTTTTGCTTGAGGTCTTCATTTTCTTTAAGAAGATCGCCTTTCTCTTGGTCCGACTGCTCAAGCTTTCTCTCTAGCTCAGAAATCTTCCGACTCACGACGTCAAGATCCTTCTGCACGCTTTCTTTCTCTTTTTCACTGACTTTATAATCGCTATCAAGATCACCATACTTCTTCTTGTATTCCATGGTGTTCTCTTCTATAAGTTCCATGTTACTTCTCAGCTCCTCCAGCTTCGCCTCAAGTTTGTCAATAGTCTCCTCGTTTTGGTCTCTCTCCTTCTGTAAGTGCTTGATTTTTTCCTTGAGTTCCTCTATTGTCCTGTCTCTCTTGTCTATCTCCTTTCTACCCTGCTCGATCATCCTTTCGGCTTTGGCCAGATGGCTCTTGAGATCATTGTAGTCGTTCCAAAGCCGTCCATAATTTTGCTTCTCGTTATCAAGCACAGTTGAAATCTTAATCTTCTCCTGATTCTCGTCTTCATACTTTTTTTCCCACTTATTTACTTCTTGAGAAGCTTTATCCAATTTAACCTTAAGGTCGTGGATTTCTCCTGTGTGAAAAAAACAATTTATTTCCATTCATTCATTCATTCGTTCAACAATAACACAATTTTCAGTTCATTATCTCGCTGATGTGTTATTACTTAACCAATTCAGGCTCCTGACAAATTGATACTACTTTTAAATTTACTATGCCTAAACCTATTATTTCTGATGATTTTTAAGCCATTTCCTGAAGATCCAAGTGAAACAATAAAGCTTAATGAATCATATAAGTTTTCTCAAAATCAAGTTACTCTCACAGTTCCTGCAATTATGTATTCTAGGCAGCAATAAGGTTTCGGCTGCAACTGGAGCCCGAAATCGCAGAGACATTAGGTTTATGGGAAATGATCAATGCTCTATAATGTCGCCTTTGCAAATACCCAGTGAAAGGTTGCTTAACAATCGATTTACACGGTTGTCTTCCTGTCTTTAGAGAGAGGTGCCGTATTTGATCACTTGCTGATAGTTTTTTAGTCCATTTAATATATTTTTAGGTCGCGGGTCACTATTTGAGAAGTCTTAAATCAAAATCTTTCGCGACAAATTTTGTAAGACTCTAGTCATTTTGATTGTACATCTGCAAAGTTCTGGACACGTTTAGATATAATTTTTAGAAGAGCTATTTTAACTTGCTGGCGGTGTTATGTTTTCCAAATGTTTCATTGCCCCTTAACTACCAGGTTGAATTATTTTTTCAGAAATAGAGCTCTTTTTGTGCAAAATTGTTGGTCACCCATTTTACCAGCAGCTCAAGGAATTTTGCACGCAACAATGTTTCTTTGTTGGACACTCGGGGAGGTAGTGAAAAAATTTTTATACGGGAAGGCTCCGCCCAGAGGTACAGCCCCTTTCCCTCTAACAAAAAAAGGACCCCTTTCGTATTCCTTCTATTTAAGCAATAAAACAAGTTTTCTGTGTTTGCATAGTCCTGATATAAACACGAGAGGGGTTGGGAGAATTCGAGACTGTTATCCAAACCCTCTACTTCATCTCGGGTTAGCATAACTCTGGAGAATTCTTCCAAGACCTCGAGTGTTTATATCAGGCTATGCAAACACAGGAAAAGAGTTTTTTATTGCTTTTATAAAATAACTTCTCCGAGGAAAAAACGCAAAACTTTTTGTTATGGCACTGATCAAAAGAGAAATTCTTGCCAGTCGCAAAGTCTTGTACACGAACTCTTGTACGCGTAATCAGTTCCTGTTTTGCAAATAGATGCTTTCCAAAATACGGATTTTTGTCGTTCAAAATATCACCTTAAGCGAAATAAAAAGTTGACACACCTTGTTCGTAACGATTTTCCAAGTTTCAGCTGACGAGGAAATGGGTAAATAGATTAAACTTGTCGAGTTTTGAACTCAAAAACTTTTTTCAATTCGTACACTCCTCTCGGCCAATCAGAGCGCGCGTAGTATCTTAGTTATTTTATAATGACGACTAGTTTAGAACTTTGCATCCCTTTCAACTGCTGTAAATGCATTACCTTTTAAATATAAATCAAACACAAAACCAGAACGTTTTCTCGACTTTTTAAGGCCGTAAAATTCAGCTGTTAGCCCTTTTGGGCCTTTTTACGGACCAAAATGACAGATTTCGCTACCCTTTCATATACCTCAACTAATGAAATCCCTACTCTTCCATATACCTGACGCCTGAAAAATGGTACCCCGTTCTGGCGGAGCCCTCCCCGTAATTATACGGAGTACCTCCCCTGGTTTTTCAGTCTGGTTGCACATATGTTGCATTTGCAAAGCAGAAGTCTCCTGTACTTTCTTATGTGCTTTCTGCAAAAAGATGCCGAAACTAAATTGTTGCGCAACAAGCTGAGCGCGGAGGTGGTAAAATGAGCAACCAAAACCGTGACATTGCCCATATAACTGCACTTTAATGAAAAAGACCCCGTATGAAACAATCAGAGTTAATTTGTACGAGAGGCGCTATGTGAACCGCCAATACTTACCGTTCAGTTCTTCCACTTTACTGTTCAGATGTCCCACTTTAATCCTCAGCTTCTCGCTCTCATCATCTACAAAAAAATCAAACCCGCCGGGCGGACCAGATTCCACAACCGGGGCACTCTCCACAACATCGATGTTATACGTTTTTAGCTCTGGTTCAGCCATCCGCCTGTTCAACTCGTTTTCCAACTCGTTAATCCTATCTTGCGCCGAAAGCAAATCGGAATCCAGCTTATTATTCTTGTCTTTCAGCGTTTTCTCTGAGTCTTTCAGAGAAGATATCTGATCTTCAGCCTTGTCTCGGGCAACTTCAGCAGCTCTGATGTCGCGTTCTGCCTTAGCTATGCCTTCCAGTAATTCTTTCTTTTCCTTTCGCAACTTGTCAATGCACACTTCGTCACTATGGTGTTGGTCTTCAGCTTTGTTGAGCTCAACTGAAAGCTCGCCGCTCTTTTGTTGTACCACCTCCAGATTTGCTTCGGTTTTGTTAAGCTTCTGCCTTAGATCTGGTACAACCTACATAACGAAACAAAAGCGTAAATGACATGCTCGGGGCCATAAGAAAAGACAGCTCTAGGGGAGGGAGGGAGAAACGTGGGCCAATTCAGGACAGGTGTGTGATACGATGGTTCTTACACTGAGATTCAAGTTACCCGTCGAAGCTGTCTAATTCTCAGTAGCAAGTCCAAGGTTTATGAGACTTTCTAGAGAGGAATTCTAACGACGGTTCACAAAATATTTCCCAAGAAGCATCAATCTATAAATTTCTGTTCTTTCTGGCTGACAAAGTATCCCTCTAGAGCTCTTCTGAGGCACCCACACTGGCAGCAAGACAAAAGTTCAAAAGTTTGTTCATGTGGTTTTTAGGTGAGGAGTAGCGTTTCAAGAATTGCGTTGCATGACAAAGAGGTTGTTGTCCTCCTTTAGTGCGAGCAAGTGTGTTACTGAACAAGCTGATTAAAAGTCTTGGAAATTAGCGACTCAGTGGATACGGCAGCTTGGCCGAGTGGTCAGCGCGTACGACGGTCATCGTCCGGGTTCGAGTCCCGTTCCAGCCACTAGCTGGCTTTGTTTTCGGTAGTCACTTGCCTAGTCCCTAGGCCTCATTATTGTGCTCGGCCAATGCGTTTCGGGTCACGTGGTCCCACCGAGGTTTCGTCTCAGATACATCACCGTAATGCATTGACCGAGAAGGCCTGGGAAAACGCCGTACAGGGACCAGGTAAGGTCGTCACCAAGTATAAATCCCAGATCACGCGTCGTAAATACAGTAGCTAACTAATTGCCACCTGCTAGTTGTGGGTTGTAGGTCGGTTATTTAAAGGACGTTGTGGATTATTTCAAGAGGAGAAATGCTTTTCTAGTCTACGTTATATGCTTTCATGAAACACTTCACGATAAATCTTGTTGACATAGAAGCATTCAGCAAACTGAAAATGACTTAAAACATGGTTTTCTTAAACACCGCCTAAACTCCTTTTAAATAACTGGCCCACAGTATTTATTCACAACTGCAGATTGTAAACCTCATTTCCAAGGTCCATGAAGACAATTACAATCTGCACTTTTCATAAATCTGTTTTTGTTGTAGGAATTACAGTAATACTTTTATTTGTAATTACAGTTTGGTGCAGTTTTTTCTTGTGATATCAAAGACAATTGGGAATCTCGAACTAAACCTTGCTGGTTAAAATCTTTATCATAATGTACCTGAAACCCAGATTTGATTTTGCTTGGCTAACCAGATTCTTATATTTTTGGTTATTAACGTAAAATGCCAAATTTCTGCTAGAATGTTTCTGTTAGCGGGTGTTTACTGTAGTCAAAGAAACTCCCTCCAAGTTTTAGGCGAAGTCAGTGCAATTTTGATCAAATCATTGTTATTAGGAATTCATATGAATTAAAATACCTATCTAGATATTTAAACAGAGACGCAGTACTCAACAAAAGATCAATATAATGCCGAAAGAGTTCAAACTGGAATCTATCGGAGTTAATGGAGAATATATAATTTCTAAGTCGATTAGGTAATGATTTTTAACCTCAAGGACAAAGGTTCGAAAACGGCTTTGCTTTTTAAAGTTCAAGCTGACAGACTGAGTTAACACAAAGGTTGAATTGCCTTCCATTTAACATTAGGCAAACAAACTGAGTGAAACATGAAGTTCTAAACAAAAAAACTCACTTATCTGGGTGTCTGCTCTTACCTCTCTCTCTTCAGTGAGACGTTTTTAAAAATTTAACACGAAATATTGATGAAAATTGTAGAAAATCTCGGCAAGGCAAGGTTTGAACGAAAACGTGCTTATTCCATCGCAATTTGATTGCATTGCGACCAGTTTCAAGGGATGACTGATGATAAAACAATAAAGCTATGGTTGTTTTTTTGTTTTATGTTAACAATAAGCGCTTAAAACGCGGTGTCTGATGAATGCGTATATTAACGAGGAGGGTTATACCAAAGGAATTAGGTGTAAAGAAAACATTTGCGTACGCCGAATATAAATGATAATATTCTTTAATGGTTTCCTACAATGTTGAAAAAAGGTTTGAAATTTCTAGGACGCGTTTTATTAGGCAGGCGGAAACCCAGGCAGGCTAAACAAGTCCAGTTGTAAGCAGAAGCCATTGTTATTCACAATTGTGCAGCCAGATTAGTCTAACTAATTCGGCGGAGCACGAAGTTAAGGATTTGCTCAGCTCAGGAATGTTCCAAAGTTGCATTCGGATGTCCCGAAGTTGCTTCGGAATTAGTTTGTTCTTTCAGGGGAAAGAAATAATTATGAGTAAGTATTACTTCTGGAAGAAATTAAAAAATAAATAATTATTATTTCTGGCTTGCCCAGGATATGAACCGGCTTACGTGTGATCCGTCGTATCAGACTCTAAATTGAGGGATTAGCCCCTGCGACGCAAGGTAATTCTCTTAACCCTTCAAGTCCCAATAGTGACCAAGATCAATTTTCTCTTAACGATATCCATACATTGTCAAGAGATTTGGTTATGAGAATTAATAAAATGAACACCTACTGCTTTGCTTTGATCTTTTATCAGATTCTCTCAACTCATTCTTTAAGGAAATATATAAAGATCAGTTTGGAGAATTTGTATGTCGATATAATGGGACTTAAAGGGTTATACAACGCAAGCTTAAGGTAGTAATCCTGCCTCCCGGGATAAGCCTACCCTGTGAAGATGCATCCTTACCTTGTTCTGAAGATCATTGATGATATTTTCCAGCTTCTCGCATTGCTTGGTCTTTGACTGAAGTTCCTCCTTCCGCGCGTCTGATTTCTTTTCCGTATCAACCAGCACCCTCTGCAAATCTCCGACCTAGAGATTGAAACAAGATTAATAACCGTAATTGAAATGAATGGCTTAGAGCAGGGCTTAATTTGCAATTTGTGGGTAGTAAAATCGTATGCGTTATTTTTCAAATTTTAAATCCAAGATATTTATGATTTCTAAGACCAAAATTATAACGACACGAAGTGGCAAAATTACCACTTTATTTTAGCGTTATTTCAAAATCAAGTATGCAGAATTTAGTCAGTACCAATATTTTTTATCGTTCAGTACCAATATTTTATCGTTCAAGTAGCCGCTTTGTTGAAAAGTCGAAACAAAAAGGCTTTTGCATCGCATTTTGTATTCGAAACAGAAACGATGCGATAGAGAGCAAAAATGGAACATGATTTACGCGGTTTAGAACAGATATGATTTATAGGAAAAAAATAGTATGATTCGTGAATAAATCACACTCTAAGAGCCTTTCAGATTGCGAGGATCACCAATGATTTCAAAACGGATAAAATAATATTTTAATCTGACTTATAAAGGCTGGTTTATGACTACGAAGCTATTCAGCAAATACAGCTCGACTGAATAACCTTTATTTTAAGAGGGTGACACCAATTACTATGAAAAGTAATCTCCCTAGTACCCCTCTCATCGTAGGGACGTTTCCCGAAACTCCCACCCCCTCTACCCCCGCAAGGACAGCGACTAGGAGCGATAAGAGAGTCATAAGAGGCGGTTGATACTTGACAGCTAGCACACTCTCTCCTCCGCAGTCCCTCCGCAGCGGCCTCTTTTAGTTGTTGGGGGACTGGGGAGGGGGAACAAATAAATCGCTCAGGGGAGGATAGTTAGGGGAAAGAGTAGCCTCCCACGCACGCAGACGTTCCTAGGGGTTCGTCACGCGTTCCTGCCCTGAACGCGTGACGAACCCCTAAGAACACCTGCGTTGGAGGCTAGGGGAAGAGAAGAAGAGCCTCTTCTCTCTTTCTATCGAGCTGAGTTCCTAACATTAAATTAAACCTCAGTAAATTTTAGAGATCCAATTTCAGCACCACGGTAATAATTTGGTCCTGATGGCTAAACATAAGATTAAATTGTGGAGCCACTTAGATGGCTAAAAAGGCTGTATGAATAACTTTTTTATCCTCACCCTGTGACCAGTAGCCTACGAGCAAGCTCTCTATTTGGGGGAGTCGCGAGAACGCACGCGAGAGAAGCACGCGAAAGGAGACGAGAGTGGCAGGGGCTTCGCTCGCCATCAATTGAAAGCTTTCTAGCAGGCTACGTGACCAGCAGAGAATAATAGGCTTGGTTTCAGCTTGTGGGTTCATATCTCGTCTTAAAATTATTTGTATTGCTATTGTTGATAGTTAACAGTACAATTTATGCCCGGAGATACTCAAAAAAGCTTTATACGGGGAGACGTCGCCCCGAGATCCACCCCTTTACCCTTTTATATACCATTTTGGGCGGAAAATGCAGTCCTTTCCCATACCTTCTTTTGACATAAAAGACCCCTTTCACATACCTAGCTTAGAACTTAGTATCCCTTTAAACTGCTGTAACTGCACTGTCTTTAACCCTTTAAGTCCCAATGGTGTCCAACATCAATTTTCTCCTAACCATATCCATTGATTGTCATGAGATGAGGTTATGAGAATTAATAAATTGATCACCTAAGAGAAAGTGCTTTGATCTTTCATCAAATTCTCTCAACTTATTTTTTAAGAAAATTTATAGAGATCAGTTTGGAGAATTTGTATGTGGATATTGGGGCTTAAAGGGTTAAAAATGTGAATAAACCACAAAACCAGAACATTGTTTCAACTTTTTCACAGCCGTGAATGCATTAGTCTGCTACACAACCGTTGTTAGGGTCGTCACGCAACGCTCCTTTGCGTGACGACACTAAAAACGGCTGTGTAGCAGACTATGAATGCATCTGTTAGCTCTTTTTTTTTTTTTTTTTAAGAGTGAAATGACAGATTTTCTTAACCTTTCGTATACTTCAGCTGGTAAAATCCCTACCCTTTCATATACCCGAAGCCTGAAAAAAGTACCCTTTTTGTGTAAAGCCTCCCTCTATAGACCATTATAGGGACCCCCCCGGGTATGTGGTCTGACAGAAATAATTTCTCTTGCATCAAATGATAATTCAAGTTCTTTACAAATCTGGGGGGGAAGTTACCCTCTTCGGGCCGAGCCTCCCGTATAGGCCATTATGATGAGCACCCTCCCGGGAATTTATGCATACCTTGCTGCTCTTTTCTCGAAGCTCTTTGCGTAGTTTTTCGTTTTGAGCATTAAGGTCATCCTTCTGCTTCACCAGACCAGTCTTTTCCCTGTTAAACTTCTCCTCGTTTAACTCCATGTGCCTCTTAACTTTAACATTTTCTTTCTGCGTATCCTGGTACTTTCCTTCCACAATTTCGTAGTTAACTTTCATTTGTTGGTAATCATCAAGCAACCTTTGATATTCCTCCGAAAGTTCTTGGTTTTTCTCCGTAACCAGAGCGATGCCTCCTGGCTCATCCTGTATAACTGTTGAGGTGCGGCGATCGTCTTGTACGGGGGGAACCCTTTGAGAGCTTCTTCGCGGCCAAGACATGGCGATGGCCCTTCTTCACTTTCGAATTAAGGCACACCTATGTCGATTAAAACGAAGAAACGTTATTGTTAAATACGCTAAAATAGTAATTGGCTTAAACAAGATCAAAGTAAAATTCGAGAATCAATCTTTTTCTGCCGTATTTACTTGGCTTCAAGAATAATTTTAAGATTTCAGATTAATTGTCTCTAGGCACGATGAAGCATTAAGCAGGTTTAGGAACATAGATTAAGGGCCTGTTTACATGGAGGTGGGGGACCCCAGGTAGGTGAGGTAACCCGCATGTCCATATAATCTCTCATTTTAATTTGATCACGTTTACATGATAGATGGGGTGACCCGCCAAGGCGGGTAGCCCCAGGGGGGGTACTCGAGATTTCAAGTGACGGGGATGATCGAAGGATTTTTTTGCGTCTGAAATTTTCGATTGCGGGATTTTTTTGGGTACAAAAATTTGGCTTGGGTAGCTTGATTTGAGTAGGGATTTTTTTCGGGTATTAAAAAGAATCAGATGAGGGAAAGGATATATTCAGATGATATGATGAATAAACAAACATGAGTGTTCAATTTCCAATGTTTTTCTTTGAGTTTTAGTATTACCCCTTTCTGGAAGTTTAAGGGCCACAAAATCGGTGGCCCTTAAACGATGTTTTTGGGTTTTGCTGCAAGCCCTAGGGATTTTTTTGGGTCTTGACTTTTGGCTCCATTCGATCGTCCCCGCCGAGTACCCCCCCTGGGCGGGTAGCCGGTCTACCAGACCGGGTTACGCTCTCAGCCGGGGTCAAATTTTGCCATATAAACGTTTCAAGGTGGGGTAACCCGCCTGGCCGGGGTCGGATTCGTGATACATCAAATTCGCGCAAAATTCACTTTGGCCGTGGCTTTGCATCATTATGAAAGTTAACAATAGAAAGCCATTGCCATTGCACTGACGGGTTGCAGCAAGAGCAACAAGTGAGTGAAGAAGTGCATTAATCGCCAAAACACGTGGTTTGCCAGCATTTTTCTTGTTTTCGTGCTTAGCGACCATTCAATAATCTTGAGAAAGTGCACCCCGGGATGGCGGGGTTGTAAGATTGCATTTAAAGGGGGGTCATTTTTTTACCTCACCTAAGCAGGTTACCACACCTACGTGGGGTCCCCCACCTCCATGTAAACAGGCCCTAAATTATCGTGATTTTCTATTCACAGTTCAATAAGGTCACGTGTTTTGAGCTATTCTTTTGTTCTTAACTCTCCGTGAATATTTTATCAGACAGATTCAGCAAAGGCTACGCACTGCTGCTCAAAGCAAGATGCAATTGTCTTCGAATACATCTCCTTTTTATGCACAAGTCCATCGACGAAAGATTTCGCAGTATTCGTTTTCTTCAATCAAGAGAAATATCTTGCCTCTTTTTTCCAGGCAAAGATTAATCGAGAATTCATCCCATCAGCCTAATTCATAAGTTAACGCTTCAGTAATTAATGTAAAAATGCACTAAATCTGCTATGCGAATCCTTTGAAGTTGACTTGTTTATAAAATAATAGACATTAGCCCACAGCCATAGATTATCTTCCAAGATTTTTTTGGTGCTTAACTGCTCAGGCCATTGCCAAATGTTTCATAAAGTTTTGCAGTCTCTGCCTAGAAAATTTTAAACATGGTGATCTCATAAAGTATGCCATGCTCGAAAGATTCTTGTTCTAGAAGAAATCATATTTCATGGTATTGTTATCCAGAGTTCCAGAGAGTTAAAAACATTTGTGGAACTTTTTTTAATTTCCCCTTCGAATAATGAGGTGTTGCCATCTTGAGAAAGACACGGTGATCTTTTCGAAACGTCAAGAACACGCTGAGGAACAGTTTCACCTTGCTACAAGTTAAATTCATTTTTGCATTATGGATCCGGAGACTTATAACTTTCATGAACGAGATGAAAGCACAAGAGAGAATGCACGTACTGATTATTCTAACTCGGTCGAGTAAATTAAATTCATTTTTGCTTTATGGATCCGCAGACATTCCTTTATGCACTAGATGAATGCACAAGAGAGAATACTGATTATTCTAACTTGGTCGAATATATTAAGAAAATAAAGCGAGCCGATGTTCATGTCGAAAACACTCCTGGTTGTTTGCCAAGTTTCGTGATCGTTTTCAGCGAAGCAAAACGTTCCCTTGATTTGGTCTAACTTGAATTGCGCTGAATTAATCTATGGGGGTTATCTATGTCCTTCTAGAGAAAAAAGTTTTGAGGTTTCTTTGTTTGTTCCTCGTTTTTGTTCTTTCTTAGTTCAAATGCCGCTTTGTATCCTCCTTGAAAAGGAAAGTTGTCGCTCCTTTTTCGAGTTGTTCTTTTGCGCCACGTTTTAACGTATGCAAATATGCTATTTAAAGTGGGCTTATTACGATAATTGGTTTTGCCATTAATTGTTTTTCACTTTGAGAAACATCTTTTAGGATTAAAAGCAAAAAACATCTGAATCTTGTCGAAATGCGAAATATTGCTTTCACATGTTTTTAATCCCTTACCGTTTTTATACAATTAATTTTCTCTTGTAGCGTGAAAGGTTTCCATACCGATAACAATAGACAATGACTTACACACCCTCTGCTTAACCAACGCTCGAATAAATTTGTATAGTTCAGGTAGTTCCGAGGTTCGCTTCAATTTTTATGGGCCAGTATGGTTCACGTTAGAATTTTTTTCTTCCAAATCTCTGGTGATAGAATTCTTTTCCCTGACATACAAAGCCATTGTATCTCAGGTATTTCCTTGCAAGATTTTTTTCTCTCGAACTCAGTCTGCACCACATTTTCAAAAGTCAAATGTTCGGCTCCTAATTATGGTTTGTCCGATACAAAATGATCAAAAAGCGACTAAACACCGCTTTACTAACTGACTTTATTAGCTTTGATTTACCGATTAAGTGTCAACAAAGCATACATTTTAAAATCTCTTTCCCACCAACTTCTTTAATAGCTTGAAACTTTGAAGTTCATTATACATGTCATCAGAAGTACATTCTTCAATAACTTGTGTACCATACTCCTGAACTTCAACCTAAATTTTTTTAAAACCAACATTTCGCTTCTTGAGAACATCCAGTGCAAAGCTTTGAGAGGGTTCGAGTATTAATGAAGGTTTTCCGGAACGCTAAATCCAAAATTATTACAAATATTACTACAAGGTATACAGGTATTCTTGCATATTCAAATGGAGGGTGATAAAAGTTTTTCGACTCTCTACGGGGTTGGGCAATAATAACAATTAGAACCACTCAACAATTCTGTTTACTCAGCGACTTCTTGACTTTTCGCGAGAGCTTCTGTAAATATTAACCAAGCCTACTAGTTTAGATGTGCTTTTCGCTGATATCGACCATTATTTGTTCAAATAAACCAAATCAGCTCAAATGTAAACAAACTTAAAATACACTCCAAGTCAAATATCGCTAGATAAACACGTATCGTATCAGTCTTGACATGAAATCGATCGGTCGATATTATTGGCAACTTTTGCTGTTTGTACTTTCAGTTCAAATTATTTGCGGGAATTATGTGACAAAACGACAATTTGTTCAACTTGTCATGTTATCAGTTATCAGGAAAATTGGCTATAGATTCCAATAACTCTTCAATGTCACTTCCAAAATTACAGACATTAGACATGGCATCAATTCCAAAACACAAAGTTTTGTTTTCTTTGGGAGCATTAAAAAATCTGAAAAATAAGTCTAGTAGATCACTACCCACAAATTCTGAGCTAATAAATAAAAATTGGCGCAAGCTGTAAGATCATTAACCACCGCCCTCTTATGTCGGTTCCCAATTTGCTACAAAATTTTAAAAGGCTTCCAGAGAAACTGATAAAACATTTTAAAACACTCACCCAAAAGCGATAGTTTTCACCCAACGTGCAACCAATAGTCGTGCAATCTCTGGATTGAAATCTGCTCACTTGAAAATCGGGTAGAGTCGAGCTGCTGTCAAGCCTGTTAACGCACTCAACACAAGCTGCAAACTCGGAAACGGTCGAAAGAGTTTCGCAATGAATATGCCATCGCGTTTCGCAACAGAGATTTTGGACAAAGCAGTTCTTGGTTCACAAAAGGGGTTCCAGAAAGATTTCGTTTAAAACCCAATCAAACTCATTGTGTCACACACAGCCTTTAGGGAGACCAAATATGTCAAGAATGTTCCTACCCTCAGAGTTTTTGTTAAGAGTGAGAAGAAGCTCAATTACTATTAAATGCCAGATATTCAATAAACCAACTTAAAATCTATACTCGCTGGCGAAAAAAAGAAAAAAGTTGATTCGAGCCAAGACAAGAAGAAAGAAACACTGCAGCAGTTCGAAACTAAGTACAAGTCGATTACACGCGAACAAACTTTTCACAACTCGGCTATTTAATGCTTGTCCTGTTGTTATGTAAATCAAAACGAAATCACTCTATTTTGGGCAGCGATTATTACAAATTTCAACATCCCTCTTTGAAATAATAACGGGATTACAAAATCGGTTTAATTTTCAAGTCCACTGAAAACAGTCGAAACATACGTCCCTGGGAATATTCAATGCTGTGTGCACTATGCTGAAAACCTCAACTATCTTCCAATTGTTACTCCAGTTGTACCGTATGTTTGCTATTTGCTTTTATTTGTAGCGCACTGTCTCATCTACCTTCGAGACTCTTCTCGATTTTTGGTAACAAGAGCGTTTAGAATCTTCACCCATATTTGGGGGACATCTGATGAAAGAGTTTTCGTTTAAGAAAACAGTATCAAATAAGTTGTGTTCACTGAATCAATATTTTTCCTCTTTGGAAATCACTAGACCAATCATAAATACGCAACTGTTTAAAAGCCTAAACCTATCCCTTGGGTCTTTCATTGTTCGCTCTTTATTCTACTGCGTTTCACAAAATAAATAATTACCACTTTTGAGCTCAATCACTTTTTGTCTTATAAGCATCATTAGCAGGCAGGCGAATCAAGCTTGCTCGGAATTTTATG